CATCAAATGGGAAGCGCTGCCTCCAGAAATAACACCGCTGCTACAAATCCAGGTCTTCAGATACGTGTTGGGGCTTTTTCAACAAAGTGCTACTATAATTGGAATAAAAGTCCTTAAGTGAACATGATTTAATATCAGAGACACCGAACACTTTAGGTCAAAAATAAAAAACTGATTTTTTTTTTTTCCTCCTTCTGTAGGCAAAATCTGAATTTTGTTTTCTTTTATTGTTGCAGTCTGTTTCCATGATGGTGTGTTAAACACTTATTAATTTCTCAGCCAAAGCCCTACCGTTCAGATTTATGACGGCTGGTGTTTTATAAAGTATCCGCTGCACAATAATATTTTGTAAATCTACATTCCACAAACATCACTGTGCTTGAAGTAAAGCTTCACACTCAGCTAGGCTGGGCGCTCAACAATACCCTCATTTTTAATCAGTCACCTGTTTCTCATTTTAAGTTTATCACACTTGAAAAAATACTATAATTTCTAGAGTTGTAAAGAAACCTACAAACTTTGGTCTCAGAAATTTCATTTCGAAGGCATTAACTCATTCTGAAAGTCCCTTGGCTATTTAAGGTGTAGAGTTTCCATTAACAGAATAAACTCCGTGGAGTATGGAGTGTAATGTTCTTATGGAAAACAGTCCCTTCCCCTAATTATTTAGTCTAGCAGGGAATGAAAATAATTAAGTCTCAAAATTCCCTTTAGAGTGGAGCAGAGTGGTGGTGGTGGGGAAAATATGGTAGGAAAATTAGCTTTTTTTCCACCCAGCTACCAAAGGGAGCCGAGCTGTGGTGGGCACAATCCCGAGCTGGAAGGTGGCAGTGAAGGCATCTTTGAGGTTTGCAGCAGGCACAGCTGGGCTCCGGCCCACAGGTGAGGGTGCAGAAAACTAACACAGCTACAGCCACCCAGAATTATCTTTTCTTTCCAGTGTTACCACTGAGGCTTAAATTTAAGGCTGTTGTTCACAACTAAAATGAAATTATAAAAAGGCAATCGCTGGCTGTAAGTGGCTGTCAGCGGTGAGGATGCCCGCATCCAGTGCTCAGTTAATAAGGGGTCTAGATTAAAAAAGCAGGTATCCTGCCAACTGCCTCTTCTTACACTTCTTGCACCCAGATCGGAGGGCACAGGTTCTGGCCACGGTGGGAATGGGGCTGTGCCGTGGGTGCAGAGAGCTCAGCAGCCCTGCTGGGAGCTTCAGCGTGCAACAAGAGGATGTTTGAAATTAAACAAAGAAATAGCAATTTTGAAATTTAAAGGAAAAAACTCTAAACCCGAGCTGGCGAGCCTGCTTGAGAAGGAGTAATGCTGGGTGAAAAGCAGCTCATGGAGCTCTGTGTCCACACCAGCTGCAAGCACCACGAGTGTGAACCCAGCAGAACTGGGATGGGGCACAAAAATGAAAAAAAAAAAGGCTGTCACTTCAGTTTTCTTATGCAGGCCAAGCGCTAAAGAGCAAACAAGGAATAACCAAAGAAATCTAAATAGCAACAGGAATTGGTGACTGACGTGAGAGCCCAGCGCAGGATCTGACCCGACCCCAGTGTGGGCAGGAGTGAGCACCCACCCGTGCCCTGTCCCACACCTTCACACCTGGGTGAAAATGAAGATGATGCCAACGTCCCAAGTGTTTGGATTTGGCTCGCTAAAAACCGAAATGTGACCCACAACCTGGGATCCAAAGTGAAATGGGGTGTTGGATTTTGGTCTGAGCCAAACCGAGCATTTGTAAATTGTTACTTTTATTTTATGCCACCCAAAAATACACTAGACCCATGAAAAACTTTTAAAGCAAAGCTAATGCCAGAGCAAAGGCAGCTGACACATAAAACCAGCGCTGGATCCTGATCTTTTCCTACTATAAACTAGCTGCTAAAGAGTGAAAACAGAGTCTGTGCTTTGGTCAAACCACGGTAATGCATGAATCAAGACCCTGTTCAACAAGATCTATAGCACCGTGTGTTCAGCACAGCATCCACGCTGCTGTGTAATTACTTATTGGACCTGCTTGTATTCCTCTGTACGCTGGGCAATCGTTATCCTATAAAAACTAACAAAGATAAAGATTTGCTTTTGGTTTCGCTTTGAATTCCTGAACGTTTCCCTTCCTCACCTGTTACAGAATACAATAAAAAAAACTAATCACCACCTGGAGCAATGTAGTGTTATCCTAGCCACATCCCACTTCATTAGTTTCAGTTTAAAATGAGCTCCCGTGTTCAACTACTTTATTTTAATTTAACACCACTGATGCTAGAAAGCACAAAAAGATGCAGGCAGTCTATGGCAATGTCTCGGAAGGCAAGACATGATATATAGATTTTCTTGATTTTTAATCTGTTCTGATGTCTTGTTTTCAGCCTCAGTTTGTGGTGAGTACCAGCAGCAACGTTTATGGCACTGGGGGACACGTGGTAATAAACAGCTCTGGGATTATCAAATGCTTCTGTCGCTCCGTGAACTGCGAGAGCCGTTTATTGCCAGCAGCCACCAGATGGTCGCAGCTTCTGGCTGCTGGCACCAGGGGACACCTAATTCAAACTGGTGACTCAGTGTCTAAAGGTCCCAGGTTCTGCTAAACCACCGGGGTCAGCCAGCACTCAGGTCTGACTTTCTTGTTTCTTTTTTTTTTTTTAATAAAAAGAATAGCAACGCAAAGGAGCACTCCGCAATGAATGCTGCTTGGTGAATTTACAGCACTGAGGCTTGGGGGACTCAAGCAAAGTTTGGTGAGACTCGGTTGATAAATCCACCCCCCGAGATGGAGCCAATGCAATGCAGGTTCTGTGGTCGCTCTCCCAGCTCAGCCTTGTAAATGATGCCCTAACACCAGTCTGCCTGACAAGCTCCTGCCGGATCCCCATGGGTGAGCCCTCTCACTGGACTTTTCTGCCTGCTGTGAGTTCCAGTGTTCGTTAGCACCCTAACGAGGCTCCCACCGTGGGCACTGGGGTTGCACCGTGCCCCTTCCCTGGCCAGCAGAAAGGTGCCACCTCCATGGGGGCTGAGCCCCCACCCCGCGAAGGAGACGAGAGGGAGCAGCGGGGAGGTCCCGCTCTGTCACAAGCTGCAGACCCCACACTTTGCCTGGTAAATGCATGTACAGTCCAGTGAAGGTCCATAAAAACAAAGAGAAAACACGGCCAAAATGGGAAAACAACCAAAGCAAAGAGGTTTCCTGTGCTCCTCCCACCACCACAAAGTGAGACCAGCTGATTGTGCAGCATCAGCGCGCTGCTCCTGCATGGAAAGCCAACCCCATCGCAGCTAACCAGGACTAAAATCCCTCCATCAACATTATTAAAGCTGTATCTGTCTGTGGCAAGGGCTGTGCTGCTCTAGCCCAGCACGCCTTTTGTAGCAATAATTAATAGAGGTTCCCCAGAGCCCTCCTGGGCCGGAGCCAAGGCGTCATTATTTGTGTGTAACAGATCTGCTGGTTGTGTAACCCAACAGACTGTGACACCACCCTACAGCACGCCCTCAGCTACAACCACCGTTTGCAGGTGCTCTGGTGCAGCTGGGGGTCTCTGGGCTATGGGCAGGATCCTGCCCCGTGCCCCCCGAGCACCCGCTGGCTCGCTCTGCGATGCTGCGCCCACGTGACAACCGGTTCTCAAATGAGAATATGTGCAAAACCTCAAAATAACGGTTCTTACAGTGGTCTTGGCTCCTGTGCTTAGAATCACAGGATGGTTTGGGTTGGAAGGGACCTTAAAAATCATCCAGTCCCAGCCCCCTGCCCCGGGCAGGGACACCTTCCACTAGCCCAGGCTGCCCAAAGCCCCATCCAACCTGGCCTTGAGCCCTTCCAGGGAGGGGGCAGCCACAGCTTCTCTGGGCAACCTGTGCCAGGGCCTCACCACCCTCACAGGGACGAATTTCTTCCTTAGATCTGATCTAAATCTGCCCTCTGTCAGTTTAAAACTTACTTGAAGGGATTATGCCCCATCAGCCTGTACTGATGCTCTGATAAGGTGCTTGTGCACTATGAGACAGGGCGGGATGCCTGGGGAATGCCAGAAATGTGGTTATTAAAAATATTAAAATATGATGGTGGGGAACTCAGCGGTTGCATTCCAAGCTGTGCTTCTGCTCTGGCTTTTTGCAGACTATATACAGACATACATTCTGCTCAGAGCATAAACCATTTTGGGTTTATACATTTATACCTCTTGGGATGCGTGGACCATTTTGGAGGAAGAGCTTTGGTAAAAGGTGGAAGTTCTTAGTGTCATAGCTGGAAAAGGAGTCTCTCCTCAGAAGGTCTGGGGGGATGCACTGCACTAAAGCTGAAAAACATCAGCAGGGTTCAAGAGGAAGTTCATTTCACAGGGTGCTGTGAACCTTCATCCTTGTTTGCAGTGCAGTCTAAGAGCCTCAAATGGAAAATATTAGCAAGAGCTTAATATTACTTGACTTGATCCAAAATTCCCTTAAAATGTTTTCTCAGCTAAAAATAACTTAATCAACAAGATAGACACTTTTGTGAAAAATTTCCTTTTGTAAAAAACCTTGGGGCTTTCATCTGTGCCTTTCACTTGCTGATATTTGCTTTGTCTCTTCACTGAAAATGCAAACACTTCCAAGACAAGTGTCCACAATCCCAATTATTTCTGCAGGGCTGTTTTGTCTTTGAAATACCTCAGTTGGCCGGTAGAAATAGTCATGATCTGAGCTCGCCAAGTGATGGCAAAAAATCTAAAGCTGATGGGCAGGAAACCATTTCCATCAATCATGACTTCTGTCCAAGAGAAGCAACGCTGAGCCCTTCACAGACCTCCCTGGGAACGGGCTCAACCAAGGGTCCCTGTGTCCCCACCAGGAAGGCATTAACGTATAATATAAACCCACCCTATTTAAAGGCCACCCGGGGACCATCAAGTACAAAACCCAACACACCAATAGAAACCACGAGTGTACATCCAAGACAGGAACAACGCGGAGCCCAGGCATTTCCAGCTCCCTCAGGAAAACTCAAAGCTTACCGTGGGGGTGCTCTGCCTGCAAATGGGTTCGTTGCCATCAAGGACAAGGTCTCCTCTTCCTGGGCCAGCAGCTTCCCAGCCAAATGGATTATCCATTCATTCTGCTCATAGGTCTTGGGAAGGAATAGGAAATAAAAAACTTAGGCACTGCTGGGCATGTCCATGTAGCGTTATTAGCATTAAAGAATTTTGACGCTCCTCCTTCACTGTGGATCATAAATATATTTTTCGAGTTTATATGCATCTACCACAACTGGAGGTGATCTTGCCTGTTCTACCCCCCAAACACTTGATTTTAATAATTTCTTTTAGAAGCAAGCTCCACAGAGGAACACTAACGTCACATTTTGAAATGACAATCCATCCATCATTTTAAACCAGGCTGCTTTCCCTTTTGTTACCAGAGAGAAAACAGAAGAGTGACTTCTCTACTCCCGATTCCTTTCTCTTCTTTATTTCCTTTAATCTAACCTGTCCTCTTCCCATCCTGCATCCGTGCTGTACCCTTACCCGTGCAGGCACCAAAAGGGAGCAGAGCAGCTCTCGGAAGCCCCTGTCCAAGCTCCAGTGGCAGGACTTGAGTTGGCATCTAACTCCCTCCACGAATCCCTGCACCTCATGCTCTTCATAGGGATTCTTGCCGAGGCTCCATAAAAAGCATTTCCCCTTCTGGTGACTTTCTGTGCTTTATACTTCCATTACGATTTTTTTTTCCTCTCCTTTTTTACTGTGTACCTAAATGGATTTTTTAATGCAAGCAGTAGGGGACACTGTGGGAAAGCGAAACCCTGCAGCTGTACCTGCAGGACTGTGACTAATGAAGAACATCAAGGCAAAGTTACTCTGCAAATCTCTTCTAATGGTAGAGTTTGTTATTTCCGTTGCTAAGGGAAACAGAGGAGAGAAACGAGATGGAAAACACCAAACGCTGGTGGAAAGGCCCATCAAGCGGCAGCTCTACCTCGCAGGGTTTCTGACCCATGCTCATCACAATTTAGAGGAAAACCACAGTTATTTAAGCCAACAACTTTTTAAAAAAGCTTACTCTCCCTATCTGCCTGCCTCCGTCCTGCCTCACCATGCGGCTTGTTCCAGGCTGCACCACCAACACGGACGGCTGGTGGTGCCAGGGACGTTTCCAACCACCGGCTCTGCCCAGCCCAAAGCCCCGTTTAAACTCCGGTGCACCCCCCTCTCCATTGACACCCCCTGCCACCCCATCTCCCATCTCTAGGTCCTCTTCCCAATGCAGAGGAGGTGGCGGTGGCTCTCAAGGAGGGGCAGGGCAACCTCAGCCCCCACGGGACTGAGGCCACTGTAGCCCCAACACAGTGGTCTGGGAGGGGAGATGCGCTGAGCTCTGGAGCTTGGAGCTTGGCGTCACGTGAGATGTTAAACACAAACCTTGCAAGTCTTGCAATAACTCTGCCAGGGCTGGCAGGACTGCAGGAAAAGCCGGCAGCAGCCCTGACGAGGGCCCGACTGCGTTGTCATGGGACGACTCACACGGAGTCCCGGTCGCACCGAGCGCGTCCATGTCCCTCGGTGCCTCGGTGACGCCTGAGGTGTTCGGCCCAGGGTGGGCTTTGGGAGGGTGGGTAGCACGCTGGGACCCTGGGGCATCCTTGGCTGGGAGCAGGGACCTCCCGAGAGGTGCAGCAGCAATTGCAGATGATCAAATATCACAAGTCAGCCCTTCAGCATCCTGTTCCTCCCCGGAGATCCCTTTTTAAAGTGCTCTGTGTGATTTAAAGTGCTATTTCTAGGAGGGTCTGCGAGGTGTAAGGGTTCCAGTGCAAGAGTTGGGGAGAAGCTGGAGAAGAACAGAAATCACTAGAATCCTGGAGCTAGAGCTTTATGGACGATCCCAAATCTTCAAAGTCTGATTCAAAACCATGAGGCTCTGTAATGGTGGAACTGGCTCCCTGGCTCATATGGTCTCCAAATTGTTAATTAGCGGCTCCATACGCACAAGAGTTGGACTTCTGGTTTGTAAAGTGTTTTTCTTGTAAAATTTACAACATGTCTGGCCCCAGCAAAGTCTGCGGTGAGAAATTTCCACCCGGTGCAGCTCCCCCCACTCCCCCCAGCACGAAGGCTTAGATATCACGCGCCGTCGATACTCGGAGCACGCAGGAGCCGAGCTGCACTACCGACCGCGCTGTTTAACTCATTACTCTGAAAAGTGATACGGTGGCAAAAGGATGGAAAAAAAAAAGAGTCCAGGAGATTTGGGCTGCATCCAGGGAAGCATCACACCACAGGGTGGGAAGGTGACGGTTCCTCTGTCTGTGGATCCGGTGAGACCCAGACCCGAGCGCTGTTTGCAGAGCTGTGATGGTCAGAATGGGCCTGGCGTGGTGCTCTGCTTTTGCCAGCTCTGGGTGTGCAAAACAGGGTCAGAGCTTGAATCATCCAGTGGATTAATAAAAAATAAAAGCCAGGACAGATGCACATGTTGCCTTATGGTGGGCAAACATGCACATCTTGGGTTCAGCTTTAGGTTTTGGATCATCACCGAGCACAAAGACCAGCAGCTGGGGACCGACCCTGCGACAGGTCCCCAGGCTGCTCCGTCTCCATCAAGACATGGGCATGGACTGAGACCCCCACACCTGCTCCTGCCCTCCAAAAGCTGGGGCTGCAGCTCCCCTCGTGCCACGTGGGGCCTGTGCCATGCTCATGCTGGGACTACTGGGGAACCAGTGACCCACCGTCTGTGCAAGGTGCTGGTTAGAGCACAAAATGTGTCCCGAGCTGCACAACTCACTGTCCAACCCTGAACAGAGCATCCCTGGCAAGGTGCAGCCCACATGGATGCAGACATGACTGTCTCCTTTATCTTTTGAGAGTTTTCTTTCTGTTTTAGCATAGAAAGCAACTAATGAACCTAAACACAAAAAAACCCATCATCAGCCCAACTAAAACGCCTGGGAAAGGCAGCTCGGGTAGGGGTTGGGGTTCCCAATGCAAGGCTGCCTTCAGCACAGGGCTGAAGCCTTTCTGTGTTCATGGGAAGACCCTCAGAAACGCAGTGGGCGCAGCTCTCCAACAAGCCAGATCATCTCTAACTGTTCTTACAGCTGGCACGAGCTCTCGAGACCTCCAAAAAACCCAGGTTTTAGGTATATCACAGTGGGCTAACAAAGAGGACCTGGGACTAAATGTTAAGACCTCATGAGATTTTATTCCCTGACAGGCTTCAGCCTTGTGCAGTGCTCGGGTAGCTGCTTACCCCCGGGCTTCCCATGCCCATCTCACTCGGGGACGGGGGTTTGCTCCTTCTCCCCACCCGCACACGGCCCAGCACGAGGAGCTGAGCATCGCTGGGCACCCACCACCTCCTGGGAGCAGCCAACTCCAACTGTTTATGTTCTCTGACCTCTCCACTTACACACTTTACCAGTGTATAAACACGGCATTCTCACCTTGAATATATGAACCTGTATACAGAAGTCTTTAATAACTTTACAGAATCTAAAACCAAATCACTGCTAAGTCAGGCAACAGCGAGGAGCCGGGGGCAAACCAGACGCAGTAGCAACGAAACTCTGCAGAGATAACAAAGTAGAAGAGAATACAATCACTGCAAAAAATACATGTAAAAAACACCCGGTGCTACAGGGGACATGTTCCCAACTGAAATAATAATAATAAGAACCTTTTTCCTCTAGCTTTAATTGGTCATTTAATGAAAAAGGATTGTGGATTAGTATGGCATTTTATTGAATCTCGGTCCTGGCACAGGCGCACAGGAGGAGGTAAGTATGAGATACACATGTGGAAACAGCTGGAAACTTGGCAAGGGAGCCCAGCATTATTATTTCACATGGTTGGGAGCTCCGGCCGGTTTCAGATCGGCGTCGGTGTGTGAGGGCGGGTGACAGAGGGGTAGGGGAGGTTTACATTTCCCGCGCTATGTCATAAGGGGCATTTTTCACGTCACAGCCTACCCACTGCGGGGTGTGAAGCCGTAACTCCACCGTCCTGGATATTTTCACCCAATACTCACATTGCTGTTTACACTGCTGTTTCCACTGCGGTAGCTGAGGGCCTTCAACTGTTGCTGTTTAAGGAACTTGAGCTATCAGCTGGAGAAATAATCCACGTCCCACAGAAAAGAGGGCGTAACTAATGCAACCCTTGGCTTTTTGTAATATTCCAGCTCACTGCCGCTTGCTACCCTCCCGCTACCCAAGCGACTTAACCAAGGAAGGTCAAAGGCTACGTCAGGTCGCATCACTTTCTCATTATCTCCAATAACCACATCCCCTCCTTTCTATTAGTTTCCCAAAGAGGCAAGCCGTTTCTCCACAGGCCTGGCTCAACGTATAGTGTTTCAGCGGGGGCAGTTTCTCAAGCCTCACTAAAAGCCATCCCTTAGCCCTTCCTATTAGGAAATTCTTGGGAAAGCAGCAGGTCCGGGCTGAGGAATAAAAGGCTGTGTGAGAGAGTGGAGCAAGACTTTGGGAACCGGCTCTTAGATCTTGCCTATACAGGGAAATCATGCACCTGGCATAGCTCCCGTATCACCTCGGTATTTGGAAAGAAAAGTCACTTTGTTCCAGAACAGAGTCTAGACAGGGAGATACAATAGCCACTGTAGACAATAATTATTCCCTGCATAGACAAGGTCTTACTCTGTATTTATACAGTCCACAGCACGATAGGCTATCAGTCTTATTTGGGTTTCTGGGTACTTGCATCACAAAATTACTGCTAGAGGTGAGTCTGCCTGCGATCCAGCCTGCAGTTTGTCTAAATGCAGCTTGGGGGTTTGAAATTATTCATATTCACAGGGAGACAAGTAATCACAGTTAAAAGAAGAAAATAAAATTCTTACATGCTGAACATGGACCAAAATGTATGAATGCTGCAATGGAAAATGGAAGTGAATTGAGGCCTGTATTTTTAGAAGGGGGAAGAAAGGAAATGTAAAAGGCTGTGCTTAGTGCACTGCGCATGAGGTTTAGGTTTTATTACGTTACACACACCTCCTCCTCCATTCTGCTGCCATGCAGCTTTTTCCTGTAAGCACCTTCTGCTGGAAGACTGAGATAACAGAGGATTGAGTAAAATATTTCACAAAAATATTAATCTGCCTTCTCTATAAGTAGGGTTACTTTTTCTCAACTCTCCCAGTTTGTGTGTGATAACATGAAGTCTCCATCACAACTCCCTGCTCCCAGCCAGAGGGGATCCTCAAAGCATCAATCCCGCTGCTGAGGTTTCTCTCTTCTCTTGGGAGGGCAGCTGAAGTTTATTTATAAACTTATACATCCTATCTGGAAAACACACACTGCTTCTCAGTGCACTACATATGCTGCTCCGCAGTGGGTTTGCAGGGCCCTGTAGGACACAGCGACATGGGCCACCAGTCTGGGAGGCTTCTGTGCCAGCTCTGACATCCCCAGACTTTTGGAGAAGCTTCGAGGTAGAATGCCAAAAGACACTGGGTTTAAAAAACAATATGAAGATGGCATTAGCTTTGTTATTTTTTGTGTAGTCATTATTTGGTAGGCACCAAGAGCGTGTGCCTTTGCGTTGGCCAAATGCAGTCCCCAAACAGAATAAATAACCTTCATGTCATAGTAAGGAGGGGAAAAGCCTTCCCTTTGATTTTTCTTTATTCAGAGCACTGCAGGCTTTCTACTGCTGCCCACTGGTAAAGAACAAATCTTTGGTACGATAAACAACTGGCTTTTGTAAAGTCCAAGACATCCCGCTACCAGGAAAAGTGACCAACTTGAAGCCCCAAAATTATGAGCAGTATTTTGTTTTCTGGTTGCTATTTATCAACGATGCTGAATCCACCCACAGCCTGCCAAAAACTGTAACGCTTTTCGTACCAGCAGCACAGCATAGCTCAGCTCTGGGCTGTGATGGCTGGGCTCCTTCAATAAATGTCCACCCTAAATGAGAGGTCAAATAATTACAGTAGCTGGAGGACAGACAAAGCTTTAACATTTTGTCTCCAGCTTCTGTAAAAACAGGATGTCTTTGCACTAACACAATAAAGTGTCAAGGGGTGAAAGTTCTTCCTATTATTTAAGCTGAATCTTCTTGAGGTTAAATCATATTCTGCCATTTCATCCATTATTTCCTCCCTTCTCCATGGGGACACAGAAAACAGATTGCTGCTTTCCCCTCTGCAGCAGGTGACAACCTATTCTAAACCTGTTTTGACATCAGGACTCCCACACGGGTTTCTTCGCTCTGTTGCCATGGGAGGTTTCTGCACCGCGGCTCTCTGCGCGTCCCTCTCCTGCACCCCGACCAGTCAGCTCCATCCTTCCCCAACTGGGTGCTCAGCCGAGTGCAGCGGGAAGGTGACACCATGCGAGCCAAAGGCCTGCTCTTCCATCATGGTATTGTGTTTGCCTTTTCACAACGCTCATCTGGTGATGCACACTCAGCCCAAAAGGCTTTCCCAGAGCAGGATCCATCCCGTCGCCTCTGTGTGAGCACCACACATGCCTCTCCTCTCTGCTCAGACCCAAACCAGCAAGATCGCTGGGCTTTTAGACCTTGTCCTGTGTTGTGCTCACAGCTGGGTGGCACCTGCAAGTGTGATGAGCCGTTCTTTCCAACTAGCAGCAGCTCCTCTTAAAAATGTGCATTAAGTTGGCTCAGACCTTGGATTAAATTGTTTCAATGAAGGCAGGTGATCCAGAGTGACCGACCTCAACAACAAGCACCTGAACATCAGCTCCTGACCACATTATTTTTGCAGACACCACCCCAGCCCAGTTTGCAGCTGGGAGATGGAGTAAAGGGGGTCCCGTCTGAGGATGAGAAACCACTGAAAAGGGTCACACAGATTTCCACATGCCGCCGCCAACTTGTGGGAGTTTTTCCCCTTCTGCAGACGGGAAGAAGCAAGGCAGACATGTTTCAGGAGGGGTTATGTCCCTGCCAGAACTAAATGAAGGGCTTCAATTCAGAGCTACAGCACCCTCGGGATGTCGAGACGTACAAAACAAAGAGGGGATTTAGAAAACAAGTGAAAGGCATATTATATTTAGATAATAAAATTAACATCATGAAAATTGTTTCCTGGAAAATAATGCCATGTTACATTACGTATAATTATGGCACTACTGGAACGGTAATTAAGAGGCAGTCAACTAATAAAATTGCAATTCAGAGGTGGAGGAGCACCGTGGCTCCTCCCGTTCCCGTGCCAGGGCCGTGCCGGAGGCTCCCCGCCGCGCTGGCCCGCGCCAGGCGTGCCAAGGGCCCGGCTCTCCCGTGCTCTGGCTCTTCAAAGTGAATCCTGTGGCTACAGCCAAGGCGGAAAGTTTCGCAGGAAACCCCGAGTGGAGGAAGGCGTCATATGTCAAGCAGTGATGAGGTGCAAAGAGGAACCTGTCACGAGCAGCACAAAGGGATGGTAAATATTTTCCCCCCAAGTCCCTGGGTTTTCTGCAGCCTGTCAGAGCTGGATATGTCAGCTCCTTACCTGGCCACCGCCAACGAACTGCAAAACCAGCCCTGCGGCCGCCTGCTCGGGAAGCGATGGGGCAGACGGCGAGGAGTGGCGTAGAAAAAAATCCAGAACTTTTAAAAACAAATTACATCTAATCCAGAGGCTGAAGTAACTTGGTTTTATGGACTCCGTAAACTACTGTACAGGGTTTGCAAAACTTGCCTGGCTTCACAAACTTATTCTGGGGTTTCAGCTGCTGGTTTCTCATCCTTTCTGCAGCTCTGTGCTCCTCAAGCCTAAACAACACCCGAATGAGGGCGACTTCTCCCGGCTGCGGCAGCACTGAGGGGATGGCAGGACAGCCAGCTCTGGCAGGGGTGACATCTGGCACCAAATACACAGCTCACAGTTTTCAAACCAATATTTGGCCACTCTAAATGAGATTTACTTCTGCGTTTAAGCAGGTATTTACATGTCTGAACATCCAGATTTGAAAATGCTTGCCACTGTGCTTAGGCTCATTGACTTTCCATTATTTTCAACATAAATCATCCCCGCTTCTTGGAAGAGGTTTTTTTTTTTAATTCCTTTCTGCTTCTTTTGTGAATACCTCATCTAAACAGATGAAAATGCTTCACAGAGACCTGTGTGCACTGTGGGGGTCACAGGAAAGTCCCCAGCAGCAGCACGGGACACACAATTCTGGGATGGCCGGGAAGGGGCAACAGGCCCAACCTGATGGACACCACTCCAGGACTGACTGACACACACCTCCAGCACCCACCCACCTGAGCAGGGGCTGAGCACCCTCTTCCCGCTGCCACACAGAGACCCCCGATGCTAATTGCTGCTAATTGGGCGGCGTGGACAGACGCCTTGGCAGGGACACACTCCAGCAGCCCCCCACGCCCAGGTGAACAGAAACACTCCGGGGAACCTTTCAGTGAATTAAAAACTAATAATAACGATGCGAAGGAGGCCGTGTTACTTCCTCTTCCTCCTCCTCCTCCCCAGGCTGTCCCGTACATGGTGGTCACTCAGCACCCGGCCAGGCTCTGTGGAGAGACGGCGCTGGGGTGTAACGGCGTCTCTCAGCGCCAGCACAGCTGCGCTTGCCTCTGATGCATCAGTGTTTATGCCCTGTCCTCCTTTGGTTTTACATATGAGATAATTTTGTGTTTTAAAGCCTTCGGGATATTCCTGCCCTAGAAACAAACAGTCTTTCTCTCATCTCAGAAACGCTTCTCTCCTCCGCAGATACAACCTTTGGTTGGGTGAGCTGGATTTCTTCTCTGCTGCTGGAGCCCTCCCCAAATACCAGATTTAAACCAACAGCTCCCACTCAACCTTCTGCACCTTTATGTAACCCTGGGCACTGTTGCTGGCTTGAGTTTTAACCTTTGCTGTCGGCTTGCTGAGGGATAAGCATACCTAATGCAGATTAAATGAAATTCCAGCACACAAAAACTAGCAGGGTAAATATAAAACCATAGCCAAAGAGCAATGGTTATGTCATCGCTGAGGAATCCAAAAGGCGCCTAAATGAAAATACCACAAAGAAAGCAAACAGAGAAGTTTGGGGCAGGGGGAGAGGAGTGAGGGAAGAGGATACGCCGGGAGAGGATACAGGAACAAAGAGAAAAGCCCATGATAATCTGAGATGGGTTTGCCTCACACCACTGCTGTAAGCTCCAGCTTTGTAAAACCTGGTCCAAGTCCTCATGCTTACGCAAATGAGATTTCACAGAACAGGCTAAAAGACATAAAATAATGGATTTTCCAAGTTTTCCCTCCTCTTCTCTTTTTTAATTTATGGCTGTCACCTGTTTGCGGAGACCACGTAGGGAAAATATTTTGAGGGACCCCGTGTCCACACACAGGCAGAGGGGCAGTGGAAGCCCCTGCCCGTGTCCCCGGAGGTGTCCCCAGCAGGGATGCAGGTTCAAGGGGGATGCTGCCAGCCCTGGCGAGTCCCAGCCACCCTGTAAGGCAGCTTCTGCCCCACCGTGCCACCCCTTCACGAGTTTTTTTCTACTCTTGTTATTGCCGAGAAACAATTAAAAAGCCCCACATGAAGTTTCCGTTTCATTACACTAGCAGGAGACATCCTTTAGGAATACAATCTTCTGGGGTTTTTTTAACATAATTAACTTAGCTGGGGCTTCAAATATCCCGTCACCCACCCCAGCACATAGTAAATTCATATAAATTGTTTTTCCTGGTCACCCAAAGGCACGTACCTGGAAGGCAGCGAACCACATAAGCCAGTCCAGGCGGTAGTGGTAGGGGGTGATAAAGCATGGCCTCCTCTTCAAGTCTCCGGGCTTGCATTTGAAGTCATACTCCTCCCAGACAGCAGCGGGGTCATTGGGATCCAGGCTAGATGTCCCCTGAAGAATAACTTCTGTTCTCTCCTTGGTAATGCTGCGGGACACAACACGATATTGTTATCTGTCTGAGGCCACGTAAAATGATGGTTCTCGAGAGTCAACACAACAACTACCTCATCGGCCTCCTCAGGGTATAGATGGACACTGGTGGGTCAAGCTACAGAGAAGCTGTCTATCCGACAGATTTTTCTCTCTCCAGCAGCAAAGATGGAAAACTCCGAGTTTCACGTCCTCCCACCCTCCCCTCTATCACACTGCAGTCATGCTAGTCCAAGGAAGGACCACAGCCCAAAAAAGTGATTCCTACTGAAATAGATTGGTCTGTCTTCCTAAATGAGAGCCTAACTCTTGAACAAGACATTGAGAGAATACGTGTGTCTCCCAAGTCCCACACAGGCATCTTCAACCTGCACCAACTTCTCTGTCCCACATTTCTGAAGAAAACCTTTGTTTCTGTTACTTTGATGGCTCCCATGATACAAGAGCTCTCCGACTACAAGCTCCTGGTTGACAGGAGAAAGTGGAGATGAAGGATGGTCACAAAACAGCTCCATCTCCAGATTTTTAGCATGTGCCATGTAGAAAAATACAGGCTTGTAACTGGCATGTGTGGATGTTCTAACAGCACGGCCACCAATATTATCTGCAGGGGAAGTTTCACAGGTGATTGTGCACAGAAATCCTGCCTCTGCGTTTCGAAGGTTTGTCCCTGAGACCTCCAGCTGTGGGATCAGCAGAGCAGCTTCCAGCCGGGACCACTCTAGTGTCCCCTTTGTGAGCCCGGCTCTCTCCGCTGGACACAGGGTGCTGAGCTCCGGTTTGAGCCTTGGCCAAGGCAAAGGGCAGGCTAGGCTTGCAGTGAGCCCAGCTTAACTGGCTATAGCTGCCTGAGCTGTGGGGAGGCAGCTGGACCCATATGGAGCACCCCCAGGAGCTGACTCTTGGGCACCACTAACAGCTGGCTCTACATGCCCAAACATTTCACCATCCCAGCTGGAAAACAGGTCTCATGGAGCTATTACTCAGCAAGAGGAGGAGGAGGGAACAGGTAAGCCAATGCAAACTAAAAAGCAGAAAATGAAAACAAAAAAGCCCCCCCATATCCAGTTGATGAACAGAAACTTGGTTAAAGAGCACCCCATATTTCTGGCAGGTCACAGCAGCCTTTGCTGCTTGGCTGGACTCTCTCTGCACAGCAAGGTGATAGAGCAGGGGGGACGGCAAACCCTTCAGGCCACAGAAAGCCCACGTGAAAACACCATCATCAAGTTCTCAATGACCTGTCAGTGACGCTCTCCTCCACTGGAGAGCTGCTTTCCATAACGAACACATAACCGCGTAACTCTGCCTATCAAAGCTGTCCAGCTCCCAACACCCTTTTAATTTTTTACTACTTTGGTCCTTCCTCCTCCAACCCAAGAAACCGAAAGTTTGGAAACACACAGCCTCCACCTTCTCCCCTGGTGGCTTCCAGTGATAGATGCTTACAACCCAAGGAATACTGTACGTCTCTGCTTATAATTGTTACCTACATTTAATAGATTTCTGGATTCTCCAGCCAAGTTCCATATTATACACTGGGCTGAGTTATGAGCCGTGGCCAGCTGCCCAATGGTTAGAAACACACTGTAAATCAGGGACACCAAATTACTAATAAAAGTATGTTCCTACTGTGTGATTCAAAATATGTCAAGTTTCACATAATCGTATATTCATTATAAGCTGCAATCCTCTTTTTATTGGTTTACATAGGCTGGAATTACAAACATATTACAGCAGCATTTCATCACATGCTCTTTAGGTTCTGGTAACTGTTGAAACAGATACCATAGACTGAAGAAGAAAAAGAACAACAACCCAAAGAAAACAATCTCCTGTAGCTTCACCACTCCAACCTTCAAAGAGGTTCAGGGGTTATTTCTCCCTCTCTCTCAAAAAAAGAAGAAACTTCAGTATTTTCCACAACTAGCGTTGATATTTCTAATAATTTTTTTTTCTAACTTTTTTCCTTCCACAGAAGTTTCTGCTATTTGAAAAACTGGGAAAAACATCATATTAATTTGATGTGCTCCAGGTTTCCTCTGCAATGTTCACAGTGGACCTGCTCCTTTCCGTCACCATCTGCTGTGCCAGCCCTCTCAACAGCCAACCTGCTTTGCCTTTTATAAAACTTATTTAATTACTGTTGGCTTCTCCTGTGGGACCTTGTCCAGAGCCCACTACCCCAGAGCTGCCCATCCCATGCCCAGGCTCAGACCTCTGGGGAACACCCCACGGCCACCACGGCAAGGTGGTGGCAAAGCCAGAAGTCCATGCAGAAAAGACTGGCTCTGTTGTTGCCCCTGGGGCAAGTTATTTTGATGAAACCCTGTTTTTCAGCATTTTCTCAGTCATCCTGGTCAGGAAGAGGCTGGGAGGGACAGCACACAAGAACAGTTATGGTGAGCCCAGCCTAGTCTGACCTAAGCCTGGTGAGCTGTCCCCAGAAAACCCAGACTCATGTTTATAAACCAGCCTGGTTGCAAACACAGCTGGAGATGCTTCCCTCATCCAGTCCCACCTTGCAGCCATAAGCGGGATTTCCTGAGCTGAAGGCAGCAGCCAGACCGCTGCTGGGCCTGTCCTCTCAATCTGTCTTGTTCTTTTTTGAGGCCATTTATACTTTTGTCTCCACAGTTTCCTGTAGCAATGAATTCCCCAAGTCACTCGTTGGAAAAAGCACTTCCTTCAGTTGGCCTAAAATCTGCTACCCAATAGCTTATGCGAATATTTACATGAGGGAGAGCAAATGCATGCAGGGGAAGAGAAGTTCATGTAAATATAGTGGGCTGGTGATGGTGAAGACTATCCGCTGGATGAACTCTCTCTTATGGGTATTTTCATTCTGCTATTACATTTGCTATATCCATACAATGAGCAAACTAAAAGCGGCTGAAAGAAAACAAAATGTAATTCAGTGGGAAAGAAACCTGCTCCTTTTCTTCTTCCCTCTCATAAACAGATATTCCAAGTCTACTGACTACTGGGATGATTTGTATTTAGGTTTAAGACACACAGAGAGAAGCAGAGCTATAGGATGTGCCATTAAAATACAGGTACCTCCCAAAGGCTCCGTAGGTGTTCACTATTCTGAGAGGGTTGAATGACGTGTTCATGACTTGTCTGGAATTGAGCAGGTTTAGGACAACTGGGATGCTGAGATAAGCGATCAGGAGGCCGAAGGAGATGTTCACCACTTTGCGGACGTAGCAGCCTGTTCAGGACACAAAAGGAGACCAGAAGAAGATGATTTCACCCCCTGCACCCCTGCCCGACCCCATCCCCCAGCAGCTGGGCCCCTGCCTGGGTGCTCAAAGCTGCTCTCGAGCTGGGGCTGACAAATGCTCCACCGTAATCAACCTGACCTTGCCAAGGGCCATACACTATCGCTCCAGAGATCTGCCTGTCTCTAAATAGTCTGAGAAAGGGCTAAAAAGAAAAATGTCTAAAATGTAAGATTAATCATTGCTTTAATACAGGGGAAAAAACACAGCTGGCACTTGCAACTTGCTCAGAATTGCCCTCCTAGTTTGTAAGCCGTGTGTGGAGTGCCTCCAGCTCCCTGCCGCTCTGTTCCTGCCCGGGGCTGCCTCCTCCTCCTCTCACCACCCAGACTTATTTCTTGCCTTTTGCACCATCTCACTCACTACCTCCCTTCAAACCTCATTTTCCTTTTGCAAAATCTCTACTGCTTATCGCTTATGCATGAGCCGTGTGTTGCTTCACCAGCACTTTGGTGTTCAGTTTGCAGGAGCAGCGCAGGGCTGTGCGGGATTTCAGCCGGAGGAGACATCTACTGCAACCAGACAAATAAGCAGACGTGACCTCTGAGGGGTTCCTACCCTTATGGCCGTTTTAAATTTATTTAACATTAACAGCCCAAGGATCAGATTCAAAGCAATTGCATGTAGCTTTCCCCTTATCTCTGCAGGAGAGGGATGTTTATTTGAACCTCTCTCAGAAGCTATTAATAATTGTTTAGTCTGAGAACATTTCTGGAGAATCATTTGATTTGGGAAGGAGCTCGCTGAGATGCCTCCCCTCGCCCCCTGTGTTGCTGCAAGAGCACTATGAGTCTGCTGGGCGTTTTTTTGTCTTTTAGATGGGCTGAACTTCCTAGCCTGTAATTAAAGAGCAGGTACAGATGCAGAGCCCTCCACAGGGTCACAGTTTACAGCCACACAGCCTGCTCGGCCTTCAGCAGGTGCTGATCGTCATCATGCCCTTGGGGTCACAGCTACTCAGTCATAGAGAAATGGGTTTAACTCAAGGAAAAAAAAAATCTATGTGGCAAGGATGGAGAGAAAATTGGGGAAGGAGCATGGGACACGAGCCAATGGGATCTGGATCCAGCAGGCAGAGGCTGAGCACTAGCAATGGGAATTCGAGGTCTCGGTAGGAATTACACACACCCACACTTCAAGGATGGGGCCAGAGTCTTGTAAAATTCTGTCACGAGCTGGGAAGGGCTTGGTACCATCCTGTCTTCTGCTCTGGTGACCCAGGGGTGAGGGCTCCTTCAAGCCTCTTGCCACACAGCCTGTCAGCACCAGCTCAACAGGCTCTGCTTTGTTAGCAGAAAAAACATGCAGAAATCCAAATTCACCCAGAATATTACAGATACCCTACCCTTTACTTATGGACTGCCCCTTTTTAAAAGCCCAGAACAGGGACACAACTACACTCCAGAGCAATGGTATGTACGGATGGTTCTTGCTTGGGCACCCTGGTTCAGTAAGGTTTTCTGGAGAAGATCACAGAAGAGAAGCGAGTTCCTCAAAAATAAGGATCCACCTCCCCCTCACGGTGACTCACCACGTGCCATAGCGAACAGGCGCCCTTTGGCTTCTCCTCCAGAAAGGAAGGTGCAACTTGAGTGTTGCTTGGGACTGGATGCAAAAATACAGATGGTAGGAGAGCTCTAGGCTCTCACAGCCTCTAAGCAAAGTTACCGGAGGGGAAAAGCTGTTAAAGATTTCTTCCAGCAAAATATATAAGATAGGAGACACAGAAAGTTTAATGAAACTGCATTAGCCTTGCTGGAACTAACGCTTCTGGTTAATAAGCTGTGCTTTTGGTAGATGAGAAAAGACTGGAGACAGATGCTGCATCTTGTTGACATTTTTCATTCTTCTGACAGATGTTTAGTGTATTTAAAAATAAGCATCTGCGATTGTTGTTGATATTATAGGCAATTTGTTGCTTATATGCGGTTTATAAAAATGTTACAAACACAACTTTACATCTGTTCTGCAGTCCCATGAAAAATATCCCAGTGTGGCTTGTGCAAGCGATCTTCTAGAACAGGGCTGCTCGAAAACTCCCTTCAGAAGGAAATTCAGAAGGAAACATCAGCCACGTTCATCCCTTTTGTTTAGTTACAAACCCCTTTTATTTGCTTTTCCATATTCACGATATGAACATCAGTTCAGCTCTTCCCTGCCCTGGGGAACTCGCTCCCTGCCGGGACAGTGCCCACGCTGCCCAAGCTGTTGATCCTCTCACCTTCTCCAAGCAGGACACCGAACAGCCACTTTCCCAGCAGCCAGGTCTCTTTCCCAGTTTGCAAAAGAGTTGGTGGACCCACAACAGATCAACAATCAATTTGATTCTTTCTGGAAGACCAACCTCATATCCAGTAACTAAACCAGGAGAGCGGGGTGCTCACGCAGACCCAGCCCCCACGGCACAGGCACCCTCCAACCCACCGAGGAGACCACGCAGGGGCAGTCACCTCCCTGCACTCCCAGGTTTGCTCCAGGAGAAGGTGATGGCTTTTGAGATAAGCACACCAAACACACCTTGGTGAAACTTCTCCCGTCTTATGGGAATAACTCACCCAGGGGAAGCTGCTCCCTGGCTGCATCTTTGAGCCGCATCTGCACCACCCGCTCTTTCACCCCTCCTGGCCGGGAGCTGAAGAGGAAGCCCAGGCTGGCATCATCGAAGCAGGCGATGCTGGGCACGATGGTCAGCCAGTTGAGGAAACTCAGGTTTCCACTTAGTATCAGAAGCACCTAAACAGGAAAGAAGGCAGCAGAGGGTGTTGCATGTTAAATGACAACAGAAAAGCGCAGTGAAGGAAAAACTGGATGGATTTTCACACCTCAGCACATTCTTTGCGGATTTTCCGTGATTGCAGCAGTGATGGCAAACCATTCCCTCCCTGCCCAGGCTACAGCCCAAATGTACCCCACCAGCTTGCAACGTGAGCTCGGCCCTTGCTTTCAGCAGGAGAAAGATCAGCCAGGGTATAGTGTGACTTGATTTCCATAGTGCTCCCGGTGACGGCGCAATGGTTTGGCCCCTGGGGAATCGTCTGCTTCCTGCTTATGCCGATGTATCTGTGACAGCAATGTTCCTGAAACCCTTCAGGAGGAAATATTGGAACTTCTAATTAAAGAGCAGCATTAAATATAGAAGTGTGTATTTCTTAAGAGGCGCCTTTTTTTTTTTTTTTTAATTTTAGCTTTTATTGGCCATTTAGGAGAATGTCTTGCATGTGTAAGGCAGAGAAAGTGGAAAAATCTGTGAGCCTTTGGAGGAGTCTCCATAAATATCTGCACACATTGGGAAAGGCTTTTTGTAGGCACATGATATTTTTTGTCTTACTCTTACAATGACTAGAAAATATGAGGCAACTTTTTGCTCTTCTCCAGCAAGTCCTAACAAGCATCCAGTGCTCATCTCTGGGCACTGCTGGTTTAACCTTGTTCATGAATCAGCAGCACAGGGTTTCACTCTGCAGCTCTAAGATGTCACCTCCTCAGCATGTCCCCACGTCAGCCATGGGGAAGGTGCAGGTACGTCCCTGCTCAAGGCGCCTGCCAACCCCCAGCCAGAGCCTTTCCTTAGAGCATCAGATAAACCCGAATGCACGGAGCAATTTCTGCTGCCTCACAACCGTTGTTTTTAATTTCTATTTTTCTAGTCTAAATTTATTCAAGCCTGGCCTATACTTCCTCATTTTTTTCTAGGCTAGTATTTTACCTGTTCACAGACCCTGCTGTTTTATTTGTACAGTTACATCCCTTCTCCTTTTTTATACTTCAAAGCACACCAAACTGCTCTGATCTCCTCTCCCAGAGGACTTCCCTGCCTGCCCTCAGCCCAAGCAAAGCTCAGTCCATCTTTCTGGGTTCTGACAAGTACCAAACGGAGGGTATAAGATGGGCCTCACCAGGACCTTGTACAGCAATACCAACATTTCTCATGCTCCACCAGACTGACCCCTCCCACTGTGTTTTAACGCCACGTTTATCTTCGCCGCTGGGGTATCACCTTAGTGCTTGCCAGCCAGGGCACACAAGTCCCCCAGCACATAAGCACCTTCCAAATATGCAGTTCCTTGCATCACACAGACATCTCTGTTCCTAACCCACGGCACATCATCTTGCGTGTCATGCAGTCCAATTTCATCCCATCTGCCCGTTAACCTTTGGAAGGCGGGAGCCCGCGCTGCACTGACACCACTAAGGATGCTGAGAACCGATGGACTCAAACGTCTTTGCTTTCACACACAAAGGGGTTTTTAAGCAAAAGCATTTGAAGCTTTTAATTGCTCCACGTTTCATGAGAGAAGGGATCGCTTCCAGCTCAACGTCGCTGACACTGAGACTTGCACCAGACACAGAATGGACATAGGAACTTGCTCCAGTGCCAGCAAAACGACGTGTTGAACAAAGCCAACCCCGGGGTGGTGGCCGTGAAGACACATCTGGGTTTCCCCGGGGCCGCCCAGCCATCGCAGTGGTCACAAAGGAACGTGTCAGGCACGATTTAGCATGTTGGCATAAAACAAAATATGGGAATCCAGGCACACAAAGACAAGAAGAGAAAAGCAGCTGATGCTTGTTTGGGACTATTTGAGTTTTGAGGCAGATTTGGATTCTTCTCCCATTAGTCACATTACTTAGGATTCAGCCCTAATTAACTAGCTGTTCCTCAGACACGTTAAAACAAAAGAAGCGGAAAAAAGGAGAGAAAAGAAAGTAGTCTCGCCACCTTAACCATAAAAAATGAAGGTTATAAAGCTGACTTAATCTATTACACATCGAAAAATAATGCCCTGATGTAACAAAGTCATTTATTTTTCAGCCTTCAGACCAGCTAATGAGAACTTCCCCACCTTCCAGCTGGGTTGAAAGCTGTAACCTTGATTGGCACCACTATTATTTTATTAAAGAACACTTCTCCCATTCACACAGCTGAACTTTATCCTCCGCTGCACTGTTTACTTACAATTTTAGCACATGTGGTCAAGGAAGACTTTCAAGACAGCTCAAGACTGAACGTGTAAACCCACAACACTCCCAGCATCCTGCCGCAGGCAGAGGAGCTGCTGTGTGGACCACGATCCTGCCCTGCCACTGGGTCTCCTCCTCTAAGTGAAAAAGTGACGAATCTTTCGAAAACCCTGAGGAGATGCAGAAGCTGAAGGACCGACCACAGACCCAAGAGGCACAGCTGAAGTTCTCCGCTGCTCTTCCAGCCCATGTTGCACCCACGGACAGCGGGTCTCTGGAGGAAACCTAGCTGCCCTGAAGAGCCAACTCATGTCAAACACAAGACTCCTTGGGAGCTGGAGACCATCCCAAACTTTCTCCAACATACATAAAACCCCCACAACAAACACCAAAAAGCTATATCCCAAGCAAAGAAGAAATCTTAGTGAACCTTGCAGGCTCGCCTCTGACCAGGACGATGGAAGCTCCGAGAAGTACCAGCAGATATCACCTCCACTGTCTAACATATCACGTAGCCACTATCAGGCTAAAACTTCCTACAGCACAAGACAGACCATGTAACAGGCCTTTGGCTAAATACTGAGATGTCTTAGGAATGCTGCTATATATTTTTTACATATTTGTTAAAGCTGCCCTTGGCTTTCAGAGAGGTGTCTCGTGACCTCACTCAGAGGTCTCTCACCTCTGCTGGGGCTTGTTTGAGAGCAAGATCTCCATGGCTGTGCCAACTATACAGGTGGGGACAAGGAAACAAGCCTACCATCTTACTTTATAAGCAGCACGCTTAATTTGTTTTCAAGGGCTTTTGGCCATTACCTGGGGGCTTGGTATCAGGATTTTGTTATACTCATGTAACACAAGGAGGCTCCAATTGCAACATGGACCTGTTTAACTTGGACTTGCCAAACCAGATGGTAAGAGGACAGTTCCTGTCCTGAAAAAAATCAGTTTAAACATACCGGTAAAAGTTAGATCAAAATTGGGATGCATTTCAGCTGTGTTACAGGCAGAGAGCATAAGAATTTTGGCACTTACTTATTTCCGCAGCACTCTCTGGGGATATTGCCTTAAAGAAACTCACTCAGGATCACATAAGGAGTTTTGCAGCAGAACCTGAAATAGGACCCAAATCTCCCAATTATGAATCCAACACCTTAATTACAAGTCCCCCCAAAATACCTGTGTGCCCAAAGGCTGGTCCCCGGAGTCTCCCTATGGTTTATCCTGGAGTGCCCCCAGCCAGCGGGCTCTCTCCTCCCCTGAAAAAGGTTCACTGTGGTGTTGCTCTCCCGCTCAAAAATAAGAGGTGGTCTCCCAAAATACTATTCCACAATGCAAATATCAACAACACATGCACAATTTCAGCTTGAGGACATTCAGCCTGTGTTCTGTTAAAAAGATGTATGCTTATTAAAAATGATGACAAATAAATGTTAAAGCCATGTCATTTCATATTTTATATGATTGGCTTCATTTTTTAAAATACAGTGATTTGCAAGTTACAGTTTTCAAAACCCAGCAGGACTCTTCAGTAACAGTCACATAATCTTTAAAAAATGAGAGATCTGACCAATTACAGTAAGTAACAAAAGTCCTAACTATTATATAGTTTAAAAAATTAACTTATTTTATCCTGAGTTGGATAATTATCCAGAATTATGAGGTGAAAAAAGTACTTAAAATCTGAATTACATACACACGTTAGGTCCTTGAACATAACATGTTATACTCAAGGTTTGGTGTTCCCCCTTTGACCCGAATGTGATTTAGTTCAATGCGTATTAATCAGCTTGTATTCATTAACACACTTCTCACTTTGCTACTTTGTTAGGAAACTCTGATCCTTTTCTGATGTGATTTGCCTCGTGCAATTGCAGTAATATTAAGAAAATAGTTCTGCACTTTGCCACTTCTGCTGAGGCTCATTTTACAGCTTTGTACAGAGTGACTGGGTGGTCCACGGGAGTTTTTTTTCTGGTAGTGATTCACCTCTCTTTATTGCTTGGAAGTCAGAAGCAAGATATCTTATTTCCACCAGCCCTTAAAAATCAGGGGATTCAAAAATAATACAAGTTTGGCGTTTTCTGGTCTGTGGGTGGAATCACGAACCTGACACATTTTTAACTTCAGTTATTCTGACCGAGCCTCGATGCTCACGCCAGCCGCTGCGAGTGCTCCTGGACACGGGTTAGTGTGATGCCCTGCCCGAGGGGGCTGAGCACCGTGAACCCCTCAGCTCTGCAAAAATAAACCTGGAGGCAATTCCCGCTTCAAAGTCAATTAGCAGGAAAAGAGATAAGTTTTTCAAACAGGCTGACGGGTGGCTGTCCTCGCGTAGGGTTTCGTGGCTGTTTTTCCACGGGGTGTGTGTTATTTGATCAACGTGTCCTGACAGCATCAAGGGCGAAGCTCTGTCCTCTGAGCAACCAGCGTCTTCTGCAAGCGCAGCATCTCCCCGGGTTAGTGGATCCTTTGCGATCCAAACTAGTATTTGCCTTGGCAGGCAGTGCACATTTACCTAAATCCTTCCTTTTCTGTGTGAAACCTCCTAAGTCTCTGCATCCTGCTCTCCCTGCTCTGGCAAAGCAGAGCCATGCTGGTTCCTGGTGGGAAGTTTAATTTAACATGAATTTCTCAGGGCAGTGAGGGCAGAGATCTCTGATCATATAATCATTGAACAGTTTGGGTTGGAAGGGACCTTAAAGCTCATCCAGCTTCAACCCCCCTGCCGTGGGGAGGGACACCCTGTGTCATCACCTCCCGCCCTGGGA